CCCCCCCAGGGTCACCCTCTCTGCGTCTCGAATACCGTACCCCCCTGCTGCCGACTACCGTCCGTGTATATCGCTTCCCCAGAACCGGATGAGTACCTGCTGACCCGTCTGGTAGCTAAATACCTCAAAACCTATCCTAATATCGCCCGGACCGATACCGCCCTCATGCCTAACCCCCTGACCCAAAACCGACCTCCTAGCTTGCAACCGTCCTGCGCCTCTCACCGCCCTTACCTCCCTAACCCTACTTCCTACCCACCCTAAACCCCTAACCATAAACACTAACCTCACATCTAACCCCTAATACAGCCTAGATATTACGCAGGTACGTTCGCGGGTATACCTGACACCCCTCACCCTCCCCTCCTTCCCTGTCCCACCTCCTTCCCCACCTGGTCCCCGCCTTCCCCTGCGCCCCGGACCCGTACCCCAGGGTCGTTCCGGCGAGTACCCCCGTTGGTGTACATAGCACCCCCTGTCCCACATCAGCCCCTACGTCCTATCCGCTCCAAGAAAACTCCGGTATTGAGCTAGGTTACAGAATACCGCCTAGTCAAATATACCATTCGAATAGACTTAATCCCTCCCTAACCCGTGCGCACAGCCTGGTCGGCCTTAAACCCCTTCCTCCCTGGGCCCCTCCTTGCTATCAGGCCCCTGTTCCAACATGCTTGTTACTAATGTGATTGTGATTAATTGTATAGCGGCAAATCCAATGAGCTGGTCAACACCTCAACTCAGCCACAAGCCTCCACCAGCGTATCCTCTGCGGACATGTGCGTAAAACCGCCTCCTCCAAAGTATAAACTAAGTAAATAACCACCAACACTGTGTTGTACCTACCAAGCAAGTCTCTACCCCCTCCGCCTTCCCTCTCATTTCGGCCCCATTTTGCGTTCCCGATAACTTCTCCCTTGCAACCTTGCCTATCCGCAATACATCACAAGTACAACACCGTATCCGCACCCGACGCCCCTGTGCAAACAACAAGGCACATAAAATAGGCCCACTAATGGTCCAAAGCGCATGACTCGTAAAGCTGTTCCCGAATTCGCTTCCCCTAGTCGACCGCTCGACCGCTTGTCGCCACGCGCTGGCCCCGCTTATTTCACATGAATTACATGAACAACATTACACAACCACAATAGCTCGCCATCTTGCGTATGCCATTCGGCTAAAAGGACTAACCTACCCTGGCTATTACCTCAAGCTAAGGTCACACCCCCATGGCACGCTATAGGCGTGTGGCAGAAGTTCATCCAGTCATGTTGATGGTTGGCCAATATAGAAAGTAGAAAGAAAACAAGTATGTTAGCTAAACGCTGCAGAGGGTCTAATGTCCCCCACGCGGTTATCTTGCCGCACGACGAATAAAAGCCGTACCCTGGAACGTACGCCCTGGTACTTAATCTGATACCATTCCGGACCCGTACCTTCGCCTACTCCACTAACAGTCCTACTTAAGGGAGTCCGCGCTACTGCCCTACTCCCTAACAACCGAACCCGATACCCCTAACCCTTAACCTACTCCTAAAAAACCCTACAACCAATATTCAACAAATCTAAAAAGTGGCGGGGGGGGGACCCCCAGGGTCACGATTTTCGGTATAACGCCGACCGTACCCTGGGGGACATAACGACCCTATGAGAGTAGCTCAAATGTTCACACGTGTTCGAATTATAACTCTGTCCTTTGTGTTCTTGGGGGGGCCAGCGGGAAACTAGGAGTGTCCGGGGCGCCTGGTTGAATCACTGGCAGCAACGAACAAGTCGCACCCTGCAGTCTCCGACTACAAACAGCCGACGGCATCTAATTGACTATAATACTAAACAAACATTATATACTAGTTTTAATAATATAACTACTGATAGCGACAACTACTAGCTACTATAGACAACTATAACTACTATACCAGACAACTAATGCTTGCCACGGGCGACTTGTCCTCTTCTGCTTGCGCGCCATTGGTCGAATGGGAATTCCTTGCCGAGGTCGGCCTCCTCAATTGCCCAGTTTTTTTTTTAATATCGGGCACCCAGAAAATAATTTAAAACGTGGCGCACAACCGATTGAACAGGGGGGGGCGGGCGAGTTTGTCTGTTTGCCCAAACGGGCCGACGGCGCACGAGCAGTTTTCCGCCCACGTCAGGGAGATAGCACAGCCGGGTTATGCCCGCGCGCATTATGCTTGGCTTGGCGGGCCTCGAAACAGAGCTCGGAGGCATGCAGCAGCTCATCTCGGCATGCAGTGCGCCGCATTACTCGTGTATAAACGGACATCTCGTCCCATTTACAAAAACGTGAAGTGTAATTTTCCCACATCATTTCACGAGATATCTCTGGCTGGAGTAGGTAAGAACAAAGGACAGAGTTATAATTCGAACAAGTGAACATTTAGCTACACATAAATACCAAAATGGAGGCTGTTGGTTGTGTATTTATTCTGTAATCGTGTGAAATGAAGCGAGCGTCGAGCGAATTTTACGATCATGCTTTCCTACCTGCTCTTTTATTCTTGTTCATTTGTTGTATGCGCACAGGGCGTGCGTGCGGTGTACTTCTGTGTTGCAGATGAGTATTTGAACGGCATTTACAGCAAGTTATTGACAATAATTGGCAAAATAGAGTAGAGAAACATTAAGACTTTGGTAGTAAATACATTTCGTGTTTATTTACCTTTTTTCATTTTTATTGAGACGTTCCAAGTGCCCGTGACAAATCTCTTGGTGTTGGTATATGGTAACCCCCTAAAGCCAGGCTTTTATATAATCTGCCACTGAATCTGTCTTGCCATGGAACAACATGCTTTCAAACATATTTCTTTGGGAAAATAAATATTTGGAGCTTTATAGTGAATTTATTTGGTTGTGTTACTGTTAGTATTTTATTATACGGAGTGGGTGGAGGTACGACAGCCGTATCTCCAATTTACGAGGCTGCAGGTACGGCAGTCCATTTGCGCATGCGTCGCTTTCCCACAAAATAATGCCGTTGGAAATTAATTCACGATTTAAGAGTTTTGATGAGCTAGAAAACACTCGGATTAAATATGAAAATGAACATTATTGTGCCAGCTAGCCTACACCAGTTGGTTGGGATTGATTGTCTCTCTCTCCCTCCGTCCCTCCCTCCTCTCTTTCTCTCTCTCTCTCTCTCTCTCTCTCTCTCTCTAATATATATATATCAGGGTTCTGCCGAGGATTTTTTAGTGCCAGGCGCATCCAGTGTCACAAGATGCAACCCGAAAAACCGTCCGTGTGAACGCTCGGCTCTGGCTAAAAACGTCCGTGTGAACGCGCCTATGGTCTGGCAATTTATAGTTGCTCTCGTGCACTATCGGTCTGGTATTTACTGGTGCTGCAAGTGCATGTAAGTTGCAACAAACCATATATAAAAAATGTATTATCCGTGTTTGCACTGGCAAAGCATTTCTAAATATCAATGTGTTCTGTGAGCTGATCATGACAAACAGTGCATGCAAGCCTTGCCAGTGACCTGTCGCCGGGGTTCTGGTCCAAGCTATGAGTGGCCGATAGCACAAAAATTCCAGATCGTGTCCTTGTAAAGTGCCGATGTTTTTGTGGTAGAGCAAAGTTGGCGAGAAATCTGCAAGGAGGGTAAAGCTAGCAGAACACTTCACCATTTTCGTTGCTCGTACAGGCAATT